TCGCTATGGGTCGGGATCCACTCCACAGAACTTAACAACAACAACAACACAACAATCATCAATGAATTTGAAAATGAAAATGGAGGCAGCAGAGTAGTGAGAAGAAATGGGCTGTGGAGTCAGATTGCCTTGGATTTGGATTCTAGCTCCTCTGTCCTTCTAGTTGTGTGATCATGAGACTTCTAGCATTTTAGATTAAGTTTCCTTCTCTTAAATGAGATACTGTGTGTAACTTGCCTGGCACATATAAGGCGAGGGATATAAAAAAGATATACAAACGATGTAAGTATACCTATAGATGCTCAATGAACAGTTAAAAGCATCTTATAATTTCCCAGCATGAAAAGAGTACCTGACTAATATCACTGCTTTGCAATGAGCCATTTATTTTAACTCAGTTGTTGTTGTTAAGTGGCGTCAAGTGCATTTCAACTCATAGCAACTGACTTCAGTCTGAAGAGCAGCTGCTGGTTTTTAACCACTAACCTTGTGGCTAGCAGTCCAGTGCTTATCCTCCAGTGTCACACCAGGACCCCCTGTTTTAACTGTAGTCCTACTTTTTTCTTTTGTGTTTAAATTAAAAATTTCTTAAAGAGAATCTGAATTTTATTCCTGTTACTATATGGGGGGGGGGCGTCAAAAGTTAGTGTAAAATTTATCTTTTAATTCCATTTTCCTACAAACTGTCTGAAGCCTCATGTTCATCTATACATTTCCATTTTAAGTAGCTTTAACTTAAAAAAAAAAAAAAGTAGCTTTAACTTTTGACTTAGGGTATAAAAAGAGGCCAAGAAACAACCAAATCTAAGAAATATGCCTGGTTTATCTGCTATAAATAAGGCATCTTAAGGTAGTTACGTGTCGTGGAGTCAGTTCTGACTCACAGTGACCCTACAGAGGGTTTCCTAGGAGCGGCTGGTGGATGTGAACTGCCAACCGTGAAGTTATTAGTCCAGTGCTTATCTTATAGCACCACACCAGGACTCCAATGTTTTTATTATTTTCAGGTCTCCATTATTTTAATGCTCTTGTTGTTAAGCGTAGTCTAGTCGGTTCTGAATCATAGCGACAGTGGATAGGGTTTCATAAGAGTGGCTGGTGGGTTTGAACTGCCAACCTTGTGGTTCAAACAGACCTGAGGTCCAGTGCTTATTCTACAGCATCACACCTGGTTAGCGGTGCATAATACTGGCCTCCAGAGATTGTTTCATTTTCATGTACATTTTTCACCAAAAGATCGTCCCCACAACCAAAGAGATTGATCCACTTCTGTTGAGTCAGTTGTGACTCACAGCAACATTTGAGGGCCCAGTAGAATAACCCCATAGGATTTCTAAGGCTGTAAATGTTATGAAAGCAGACGGCCACACCTTTTTCTTAAGTTCGAACCACCAGCCTTTCGGTTAGCAGCAGAGTGCTAACCACTGACGCAGGTACAAAACTCAACAGTTGTGCTTTCTAACTCAGCTCTTTTGTACACCCCACATTCTTCCTCAGGGTAATCCATGCCCCATTAACTACCTTGCCATGCCATCATTTCTTCTGGAATGTGCACAGCTAGTGTCAAGAACTGATCAGCACACTCAGCCTAGGCAAGCTGCAGCTGGTTCTTTTGCTCTTGTTGAAAGCAAAAGACCACTCCTTTCTCTCCCTACTTTGAAACCTTCAAGTCTGCAAGTCAGTGAACATTTCTAAAAAATACAGTGTATTATGCTTGGTATACAAGACATGAAAGAATATCAATGCACAGAGCTACTTCCTGTTTTTTGTATGTAACAAAATGGAGTTATTATAGGGTATTGGAAATTATACATTAAGGAATGTTGGTTAACCAGTCATCTTTGCCAAAATCAGATATGAAAAGAAAACAAAAGTTGGCAACAATTACAACTCTGACATTTCCCTTTCAGAATTATATTTAATAAGGTTAATCTTTGAAGAATGCATTAGCTTTTTTAACTGATTTAAAATGAAGCCTGGAGACAATTCATAACTATAAAACTTTCAAATTCATGTAAGATGAACTTATGAAACTACTATTATTATTTTATATCACAATCTTAATTTTAAAAAGCCCATTTTTAGATGTTGTCACTATACCTTCACTAGTAAAATGTCACTAAGAATTGTATTTTTAGCTTAACAGCTTCTGAAAGGAAGTGAAAGCTAAGGGCTATGTGAGAATATAAAAGCAGCCTATGAAATAGCTTTAAACAAAACTAACATTAACAAGACAGCATATCTTGTTCTTTCATGGGGCCTGCAAATTGATAGTTTGGCCTTTTTATGTTACCAAAATAGGATGGAATAATTATATCTACTAAACTCACAATAGCCTGTTCAATGGAGAGTAACACTGTAATTTTTCTTCAAAGGCAGTAAATAGGAAGAAAAAGCCCTAAATATAAAAAAAAATTTGAAACCCTTGGGCGCCACTTACAGGCACAAAACTTTCACTGATTTAAGTAAGGATTCTGAAGAAAAGGGCCAGATTTTAAATCTTCAATTTTAAAATCAGTATATTATACATAAAATTTATAGCTGACAAGTGTACTTTTGACACTTACAATTTCTATATTCAAGACCAGACACTAAAGGAAATTCTTAAATCAAAGTCACAGAATTCTTTCCTTAAAAACACAAACAGGCTTTTCGATACAGGGAATCTTTAGACCACTCCACATATTTAAAAATATTTCAAAATCTCACTGTTGGATTTTCTTCCTCAAAGTATGAAAATATTGTAAAAAAAAAAAAAAATTGAGATTTTATTCAACTGCTTATAATCAATGTTTATACCATGATATTGAAATGAATTTCAACCCAAATGCCAATGAACAAAGTATTTTAAAAGGATAAGAAACTGATTTTACAATAAATGAAATATTTATATTTGGGATGAGCCAAAAGCATTCTGGCTAATGAAATTGATCTGAAAAAAATTGTATGCTGCCTAGTGCGTTATAGCATGTACTATGCAATCAATCTACTCCTTACACAAAGAGGATACAAAATCTAGGATATAAAATACAAAAACAAAGTCTTGTATTCGATCTACCTCCACCTTAGTTCTCTTATTTTGTGTCAAGAGATCACACCAAATAACTTCTATGTATTGTTTCTACAGTGGTTGGCTCTTACAGCACATATCCATAGCTCAGTGAGATAACCAGAATGCTGACATTTACTACATTATTATGTTCAAAAAAGTTACAGATCATGAGGAGAGATTAACATCAATTTCTCACATTTGGGGTTTTAAATGTTTATATGGAGTTCATCTGTGGCAATCAACTGCCTTCAAGTAATTTTTCCAGTTAAGTTTTAGTCCAATCTTTATAGAAATAGGAAACTGTAGAACTATATGACTCTTGTAAAACTAAGTTACATGTATGTACAAGTGCACACAAAAAACCAGAGTCACAATCTCCTTTTGTTTAAATATTGACATGGTAGAGTCTAAGAATATATATATATATTTTTTTTTTTTTGGGGGGGGGGAGGTTCCAATTAATAAATGAACTATAGCTTTAAACAAATAAACAATCTCACCAAATCACTTCAGATAACTAACCAAAACCAAGACTTCCATTGTCAAATTAATCTCACAAGAACACAAACCTAAGACACACACTCAGAAATAAGAGTCAGGGAATTCTACAGGACAAAACATTTTCAGCAACTCAAAATACCCTAAGACTTTGTGTTTTGCATAGGGTAGTCAGATTTTTTAAAAAACAAAGATTATGGGTGTCACACTTAAATGAATTTCCTATAACAGAAAAGTCCCAGTTGCCAAAAAGGGTCAGGTCACTAATCGCTCTTCTGAATCACATTACACACATCGTACAAGTCTCATCTGAGCCGAAGCCCACGGCTCCGTGGCCCCTGGAATTCGGCAGTCGGCGGGCGGCCGCGCAGCTGCACGGCGCAGGAAGCCCCGCACCCGCGCAGCGCTCCCAGAATCACGCCAGAGGGACTGCGGGGAGTAGTCACCACCGCTTTGAAACTGAATGGCTGACACATCCGGTCCTGGCTCTTACACAAACTTCAAAGACCAAATTCAAACTCCAAACCGAAGTCACTCTAGTCTTAGTTGGGCAGTTCGCATTCCGAAGTACACTTGGAGCCCCGTGGGGGTGGCAAGTAGAAAATCCTAAATCCTAAAAGGCTGCAAATCCCACGGGTTTGCAGCCCATCCGCCTTCACCGTTTTGACAGACATTACCGAGCTCTCCCTGGGGACCCCCTTGCGGCCGGTGCTTGGGGCGCGCCTCCTGGCGTTCGGGCTCAGCCCCAAGTACCTG